TTCTTTCATTTCTTTATTGCTGGTCAGAATTTCTTGCTTCAATGCCTGAATTTCGCCCTTCCTTATTTCTCTTTCTTTATCAAACATCAGGTTCATATTCAAGTTCATTTCCTTTGTTTGTCTTTCAGCCTCTCCTTTAATCAATTCTGCTATTTTACTTAGCATTTGACTACTGCCCATCCCCAATTCTTCCCCCTCACTGCTCATTCTGCTTTCTTTTGGCTCTGTTGTTAAACATGGCAGCGAGGTAGAAATAGTTCCTCCCCCTTTTGCCCCCCCTTCCATTTGAGGGGGGGTTTGGGGGGGTGTTCGTTTTAACTGCTTTCCCTTAATTGTGGGGAGGGGAGGACTTCTCCTAACAGTGCTCATTTCCTCAGGGACCCTTTCCAGTCTTTCTAATCTTGAAAGCGATCTGTCCGAAGGTTTGGAACGCAACCAAAGAGGATTTGGTTTTGAGGTGTCCTTACTTTGTTTATTCTTTCTCATTCAACCTCAATTTCACTCCTCCTGCTTTCATCAATTTTTTAATTGCTTTGTTTTCCCGTTCTACACAGCACACCGTACAAAAAAGTCCCACTCAATTATGCCTTGCAATGCCAGGAGGGTTGCCTTTAATGTAACGAGACTGGCTCGATCCTTCTTCAAAGGAGGAATCTGCCTCTAATATTTATTTTGCCTTCCGGATCATTAAGTCATTAAGTCCAATATTTTTAGTATTCTAATATTGTATTTAAATTGCAGCTGTTTATCTTCTCCAAGTCTTCTCCAAGTCAGTGCGCAGTTATAATTGGCAAGTCAGTTTCACTTTCCAAGCCATTTTTCGGCAGCCGCCCTATCTTCTGCTAAAGCTCATAAATCAAAGCAAGTAATTGGTAATAAATTACCTTCTTAGGTTTTCCACGTGCACCAGACTTTCACCTCCCTTTTGATCCAGAAAGGACAATTATCCATTCATTTTCACTGCTTTTTTGCTATATTTCCACAAGAGCTGATGTTACATTTTTCTTGCCAGTAACAGTATTTTAATTTTTTAATTTTTCCCTCCAGATTCTTTCCCATGTCATGTCAGGAGCGACCTGAGAAACTGCAAGTTGCTTCTGGTGTGAGAGAATTGGCCGTCTGCAAGGACGTTGCCCAGGGGACGCCCGGATGACTTGATGTTTTTATCATCCCTGTGGGAGGCTTCTCTCATGTCCCCACATGAGGAGCTGGAGCTGATAGAGGGAGCTCATCCGCCTCTCCCCGGATTCAAACCTGCGACCTGTCGGTCTTCAGTCCTGCCAGCACAGGGGTTTAACCCACTGCGCCACCGGGGGCTCCGATCATCTGGATTAATACAGTATAATATCCATGTTCCCATAATCACAGAATACTACTGTATTTCTTAGGGAGCCCCTGGTAGCACAATGGGTTAAACCCTTGTGCTGGCTGAACAGCTGACTTAAAGGTCAGCAGTTCAAATCCAGAGAATGGGGTGAGCTCCCATCTGTCAGCTCCAGCTTTCCATGTGGGGACATGAGGGAAGCCTCCCACAGGATGGTAAAACATATGGGCATCCCCTGGGCAACGTCCTTGCAGACAGCCGATTCTCTCACACCAGAAGCGACTTGCATTTTCTCAAGTCGCTTCCTGACATGAAAAAAACACTGCATTTCTTCAGTTCTAATATGCACTTTTTGCCTATATGAACATGTCTAAAATGGGGTGTGCAGTAGTTAGGGTGCAGTTTACAATTAATGGAGTCTTACAACTTAATTAATACGGGCATAATAAACAACAAGATATCTACCGGCCATTCACAAGAATGTTTCCTTACAGTGATACAACAAATATCTCACTGTTGCTTTCAATATATAGCAAGAAAAGTAAGTAATTAAGGCACACTTACTTTGGCAGCAATATCTTTAACAGACATATTGAGCAATGCTTCTTTTTCTTGAAGCCTAAAAAGATTAAAGTAATATTGAAACATTTGCATGATCTGATCAGCAAAGTCTGTGAAGCAACACAGAAACCAAAATAGATCTTCACAGAATCTCAGAAACATAATGTTGGAAGAAACCGTTTAAGCTTTAAAAACCCAAATGGGTGGAGGCTCACTTCCTTCAAGAAGGATGTGTGTTCATTCTGGAGTTTGAAAACTCCTTCAGTCATTATAATGATTGCTTTACTCTTTTCAGTGATATTGGTAGCTACCCTGACTCCTATTTTAATAGAAAGGCACAATAAAATACAAAAGAAGAAAGGAAATGAAAAGACACCTCTGCAAATCATGGGACTATTCATTTCCATCCTCTCACCAGACTTGTTCTTGGAAGAAGGGGGCAACAGAAACTGTAGCATCCCATTTCAATTTAAAATAGCAGGGAAAGAAGCTTTAGTGACCAGGGAATGGTCATTGAAGAAGAATATAAGAAACAACAAACAAACTTGGAGATGAAGAAACAGCTACGTCCCTATGCTGCAGTAGGAGAATGCCGTTATGGAGAAAACTATCTTCCAACTTAACAGCATTTTGAGTTAAGATCCATTGCTTGGCCTGGTTTCGCTTTGACATATGAGCAGCTTTTTAGTTAAGCGCTAGTGCCAGAGGGAGGACTAGCACAAGTGTACAGGGCTTTAGGGCTTCGAGGGAGCAGCCTCCATGCTTCACGTCTCTGTGCTTCGGGCTCTTGTCTGCTTTGGGAGATGGTTGTCCATTTTGCTCCTGTCCGCTTTGAGGAACTTTGGGTTAGTTGATTTTGTGTGGTTTTTGTTCCTGGTATGTTTAGCTTCATGAAGACACAAAAGGGGAGAAAAAGAGAGAAAGAGAGGGGGGAAGTTGATTTTTCTTTTTTTACTGTTCCATGTGAATGTGCAGGTTTTGCCTTGCTGTTACACTGGCCAAAACATATTTTGTTGCCTTGAATGTGCTTCTTTGCCACAACTTTGTGCTTCTACCATTTTAAAGTTTATCTTTCTATTTTTATAGTTCCACGTGAATGTGCACTTATACATTGTTTTCTATTTATAAAGTACATTTTCTTATTTTAAAACACATAACAAAAAATGGGGGGGAGGCTCGGAGGGCGGAATGAATTAATAGCATTTCAATGGGAAGATCTGCTTTGAAATAAGAGCAATTCAGTCACAGAATGAATTAAACTCTTAACTCTAGGTATTACTGTAAAGCAGTGGTTCTCAACCCGGGGTCCCCAGATGTTTTTGGCCTACAACTCCCAGAAATCCCAGCCAGTTTACCAGCTGTTAGGATTTCTGGGAGTTGAAGGCCAAAAACATCTGGGGACCCCAGGCTGAGAACTATTGCTGTAAAGCAAAAGCTGGACAATGACAAGAATCTGCCATCTGTCCAATAGTTCCCAACCTGTGTGTTCCCAGGTGTTTTGGCTACAACTCCCAGAAATCCCAGCCAGTTTACCAGCTGTTAGGATTTCTGGGAGTTGAAGGCCAAAACATCTGGGGACCCACAGGTTGAGAACCACTGCACTAGAAGAATTGCAAGCAGAACATAGGCCAGGGGTAAATAACGATGGCAGAGGGATTATATTTCTGTTGTTCCAGAAACTCCAAAACATGACAGCATAAAATTGCTTCCAAACACTTTCCAGAAGTGTTATTTGAAAAACTATGACCTTCAAAACAGATCTAATCAAACTGGTTACAAAAAGGAGAAGTACAATACTCCAGGGGATTCTATCTGTCGAAGCTTAGATCAATGTAAGACTCTATTAAATTCTGTTAAAAGTTTGATTTTCTTGCCCTTCAAACAAAGTCAGCACAATAGAAATCAATCAACCGATCAATAATTCCTCAGCACTCTTACAGGTTATATTCTTGAGTCTCTCCACATGTTTTTAACAAGCAGATAACCAGGTGCTGACTACTATGAAACTAAAGCAAAGCTCTTTCAGAACAATGATGGGACTCTACCTTCTTAGCTAAATCAGCCAGGCAACACCCAAACCAAAGTGCATTTGAGGTGCTATAGCTTAGGGCTGGATGTTTGCTGTGCTTTTCCATAATAAATAAATTGGAAACGAAGCAAATTAATCAGAGTTTATTATATATTTCAAACTGCCATCCAGTAATAAGTACCTTTTTATAGATTCTGGAAAATCCAAGCTATGTGGAATTTTACATGATGCCTTTGAAATATCAGCCAAGTCTTTACATATTGCTTGTAGTTCTCTTGGAGACACCCAGCTGAGCAAGGCAGACAGCTCACAATCCTGTGCCTGGAGGAAGTGATCTTGCAATTGAATTTCTCTCCTTAATTGTTGGTCTTTAGCTTCTAGCAGAACCAGTCTTCCTCTAAGAACTTCGATTTCCTTCTGCCAAAGTGGAGCAGAATGTATTGTTTAAACATGATTTTAAAAAACAGAAAACAATGACTGATACAAAACTACCAAGATCCAGAGAAATATCTGCTTTGAACTGGATTATCTGTCCACACTGCCATATAATCCAGTTCAATATGGATTTTATACAGCTGTGTGGAAGGGGCCTGAGAAAATTGGGGGGAGGGGTGGACGGACTGATGGCAACAGTGAGAGAGATGGCTTATCACAGGGGTCCTCAAACTAAGGCCCATGGGTCAGATGCAGCCCTCCAAGGTCATTTACCTGGCCCCTGCCCTAAACTTTAGATTTAGGTTTGCCCTAAGTCTGAAATTACTTGAAGGCGCACAACAACAATCCTAATTAACTTGACTATTTCATCATCCAAAAGTAGGCCCACACTTCCCATTGAAAGATGGGTAAGTTTATGTTGGTGAAAATTGTTCTTCATTTAAAATATTGTTTTGTCTTTATTTATTTTTATTTTTTGTGGTTTTTTGTTTTTGTGTGTGTTTTTTCTCTTTTTTTTCCAAACTATAGTTCGCCCCCCAAAAGTCTGAGGAATTGTGAACCGGCCACCCACTTAAAAAGTTTGAGGACTTCTGGCTTTTCACCTTGAACTTCCTTATTCTAAATGCCTCGCTGCTAAGATAGATCAGGTCAGAGCCATAACCTCTGCCCTAGAAATGAAGCTTTCTCTTCTTGGCATTGCTGTTACTACCACCGCTGTGTGCAGTTAAGCATGGGGAAAGTGGAACTGGCAACATTATCATCTCTTCTAACTGTGTAGTAGCCCACACATTTCTGAACATTTGCCAAAGATGAATTGCTAATTTAGACAAACATTTTTCTGAAATAACTGATTTAAGGAATTCCATTTGCAGTGGTGTTGCCTCAAAGATGTGTTAATTGTTGTACGGTTCCTCCTGCCTTAAAATTCAGTAGCGAGAGAACAGAGTGCCCAAAAGGATAACAAGGGTAATCAGGACAACATACGGTTTGATAGTTTGAGTATAAAATCAGGCTTGTCATAAAAAAAAATGTGTTCTTTGTATTATCAATTTAGGAACACTATTAGAAATTCAGTAGTTTCAGTTAACAAAGGATACATCTCCAAACTGTGCTGTATTCATTAAAGAAAGAATGAGAGGCAAAGAAAAAAGTGATTGCATGTCACTTTTTTCATATCAAACTCTAATGCAATTGAAAAGCACAATTTAAATGTGCTTTTCATTTCCACTGTAAAATAATTTTACAGCAATTACATTTCAGCTGTGGAAAAAATCCAACAGTTTGAACCTTTAGGAGGGGGCAGGGATGGGGAATCTTCAATCCTCCATATGTTTTGAGCTTTGTGTGCTACGGTCCCTCATCATTAGACACAGTGGATAGCTATTGAGAGTTTCAGGAAGTATTGGAAGTTAAGAGGCAGTGTACCACAACTTCTTATTCCTATTTTAGATAGAAACTCTTTGTAAATTCAGCTTCATATCCTGGTTAATAGTAAACTCTGGTTATTGTTAAACAAGGTAAAGGCTGACCCCATTGGTTTAATAATGATTAAGGGGGTAATCATTATCTTTCCCCTAATGGCAGAGGCAGCCATTGGCCTTTTGAGTCCATTCTATGGAACACTGGGAATTTATGTCAGAAATAAGAAAGAGTACATAATTCCCAATCCTTTATCCATGGCAGAGCAACAGAGCACAACACATCTACACTGGCCCATGGACAGTCTGTTTTGGTGATTTCATGCAGCTTGGTTATCTTTCGTCAAAAACTAAATAAAAACAATTTAATTTCCAATCAAAAACATGTATCTTTAAAAAAACATTTACTGCAACATTAACTACACCATGAATCAATGCTTGCAGTTTACTTTTAGAAATTATTATTGACAATGTACTTGAAGGAAAAATAACTGAAGTTGTTAAATCCTTAGTAAACATAGTGCTGGCAACACTGACAATAAACACTATGTGTGTTGGACATTTACATAATGAACTTGCAAGAACTTTTAAAAAAATCTTTGCCTATTTCTGTTTGAATTTAGAAAATAAAACAATCAACTTTTGCCAGCCCAGAGATCAAATATGAAAAATAGTCAGGAAAAGTAACACTTTGTTCACAGAAACCTAAACCTTTAATCCTTTCATCTCTGTCCTGAGATCGACATAACTCCTGTGTGGTCTCTATTAATTTTATAGGGTATCAGTTGATCTACAGTCAAAAGTCTAATTATTATATAGCAGTGAATCCTCTGGACTCAACCAAACATTTGTTTACCTCAACGTAAGTGTCTACAGCGGCGAGACCTACAATTGCAAGGAATTGGAAGATAGTAGCCAGTCTTACACTGGAAGCATGGTAAGGGGAGGTATGGAATGTCATCTTAAATTAGAAACTATAAATGGAAATCAGGTTGTTCAGGGGAGGAAATTAAAAGATAAGAATTTGATTCCTATTGGTCAGATTTCATCAAATATATTTTAGAGAGTGATAAGAGAAAACAATACAACCTTGTCGGTCAGGAATTTGTTAATGGTTGACTCTTAAATTTATGCCAAAGGAAATTATACTTGTTCAGGCCTTGGTGGTAGGGTTCTGTGTTGGTAAAATGTTCATTGTTTTGTGTTCTGTTTACACTGTAAGCTGTTAATGTGTGTGTGTGTGTGTGTGTATACACACACACACATAAGTGTCTACACAACATTATTGTCCATTGATGTATTATGTTTCCTACCTGTATCCTCTCCTTTTCTTCAAGCAACTGATCTCGTTTTGTGACTGAAGCCAATGTTTTTTCATGGTAAGGAAGACTTAAAACCTTCTGTTGATTTTGCAGGAAAAGCTGGTTTTCTTCTTCCCTACACCTTTCAAAAACACCAAACAATGTTTACATTGAAATTTTGTTACCTTAACAAAGTATTTCCTAAGCATTTCCTTGTACTCATACAGTCTTCGCCACCTAAACATATTTGTTACTGTAGCTAGAGGAAAATCAATAAAAATAACTTATAACTATTGAGAATTAGAGTCCGTTTCCACAGTGTTTGTGCTTATCCACCTCTCTGCATGCAATGTAACATAGCAGAATACTATAATGGAAGGCATGGAAGGTTAGTTTGCCTTGCAATAAAGACCCTTGAAACAGTAAGTGTGCAAAGCTTCTACTCTGGTGGCTCAGTTGAAATCTGTGGTTCTTATGAGTTGGGGATTGATATATGTGCTGCACACTGAAGCGTGCTCACCTTTTTAATGGAAAAACAGCCACCTTGCCAATATTTAAGAATACAGGAGAAAACATGCTGGATCAGAATTAAAGCCCAGCCACTCTGGCACACCATTTCCCATGGCACTCTCCTTCTTTTCTTCAGAAGCTAAAGACAAATTCATTATAATGTGTGTGCTGCATGTTAACAAGGCTAACACAGGGTCTATCAGAAAATACAGGGCAGCTAATGATTTCCCCCATGTTTGCCTTAGCATACAACACACACATTGTGATGAGATTTTTTTTTTCCAGGTATAGACAAGCCTCAATAGTGATTGTATTGTTGTTGCTGTTGCTTTAGTTCTTATGTAGAGCCCAAATGTTTGAGGGGGATTTAAACGATTTGGCAGTGGTTTCAGGAAGTACAAAAATCCACCAGGGTCACTTGGTGGTCAGGGTCAGTCTGTGGGCCACAATTATCCCATTCCTGATTTAATACATAGAGCATCTTGTAGAGCAGGCCTGCAAACCTACAATCAATACTCCAGTTGTTTTGGACTTCAGCTCCCAGAATTCCTGGACATTGGAACATCTGGCTACAGTTTCTGGGACTTGAAGATCCAAATACCTGACAGGAGGGGGCAAAGACCTGTTCTAGAGGATGGTATGTCATTTGCACCTGGGTTTCTTTAATTTCTCTTATAATAAAGCTAGAATTAATTCCAGTTATTGTATCAAAGTTCAGTCTTATGCCTACCAAAGTCACTTATGAAAGCCATATGGAACTTGACTGGTTTGGAAAAAAAGCCTTGAAATCACAGTTTCCAAGAATATGAATGCTTGCCAGACAGAGAATATGAAAATGTGAAGAATCAAGCAGGGACATGGGCAAAATTGTTATTCCTTTCCTTTCTTGTTGAAACTATTAATCTTACTAAATGAGCATGGAAAAACTCTAGCTGTCATGCAGAGCTGGAAGGCAAGGGAATCAAACACATACACACAGAGAGAAAAATCCTGTTTAGTTTTTTTTTCCATATCAAGAGTGACTTGAGAAACTGCAAGTTGCTTCTGGTGTGAGAGAATTGGCTGCAAAGACGTTGTTTTACCATCCTGTGGGATGCTTCTCTCATCCAGTCTAGTGATATACATTGTATTCATTTCAAATAGGGCCCATCCAGACAGTACCTTTATTGCGGTACCTACCACAATAATGGAGGGGCTGTCCAGACAACATTCTGGACAGCCACAAATTAATTCGCCACAAATCAGGAAAACCCTGGTTTGTGGCGAATTAATTAGATGGTGGATTTATTCCACGGCTTCTTGGAAGGCGCAGGATAAACCCACTATTTCTGGTGCCTGAACTACAGTCTGAGCAGCTCTCCCAGCACATAGAAATGATGCGCCGGGGGGGGGAGAAAAATCGCTCACCACCACCCCCACCCCCTGGCTCTCCTGGCACTTCATTTCTACATGCCGGGAGAGCTGCTCAAAGCCTGTAATGGAGGCCGGGTAAGTTTTCATAACTTTTCAAAGGGGTCTTGGGGCTTCGGGGGAGGGGGGTAAGTTCTCCTGAGCTAGTCCCAGGAGAACATCTGGACACCCATCCCATCTGGGGTGGGTGTTGACAGGCCCCCAGGAAGATCCACATTTTAAAAATGCAAATGATCCTGGGATAAAGGGCTGTCTGCAACCATCCAAAGTGGAAAATCATTAAGAAGGCACATCAAAGAAAGAAAGAAAAACCTTGAGAGATTTGTCTATGGTTAAGGCAATTGTATTTGGCGCCCCCAAATATGCTAACCAGTTACAGGATAGGACAATTGGGCAATGGCAAGGCAAGATGGATGCCCTGGAAATGGAGCACAAGTAACATTTTCAAGTTGGAACCATGTGGGTTTCCCGCATCCACCCTGCCCTACCATTGCCTGATTGGCCAGGCAGCCAGACCTTTACAACATTCCCATGGAAGCCAGATACTCTTGAACTTCCCCTCAACTGTTGAATAAGTCCAGTAGTAGCCAGAGTCCTCCCACATTTTCTTTTCACCATCAAATCTCAGATTATGGTGGAGCAGCAGCTATTTGAGAAAAACTAGGGCTGGATATTGTAACTAGCCTAATTTCCTCAAAGGCTAAAGTGGAGGCAGCCAAGAATCCAAAGAATCCAAAGAATCCAAAAATCCAAAGTGTTTGGATTCTTTCCTATTTTGTATTTCAGGAAAAAGGAGAGTTGGGCTGTATCTTTATTGCCAAATTGCAACTGGCGGCTAAGAGGATAAACAACCAGCTTGAGCTGGCACAAAAAGCTAAGGGTCTATAGGACTCTGGTTCTTCAGTTATAAGTAGTAAACTTGGCGCAGAAGCAGCTAAAGGAATCATAGAGTTTTCCTGTCGAGTTGCCTATAGTGCGGATCAAACATAGCCACGACTTTTCTGGTTTCTCTACCAACAAACTAGAGAAAGAATCCAGATTTTGGGTTTTTTTTATTTGTGTCTCTGGTTTGTTCTAAGTGAAACAACCCAGAATAGGAACTGCATTGGTGTTTAGCCAACACACTGAGCAAACTATAGATTGTTGTATTTCAAGGCCACCATTCCAAGCAAAAACCAACCCAAAGCTCATAAAGGACATGGCAGGATTCCCAAGGGCCTTTGGGTTGCTGTGTTATCTAAACCAGCTCTGCAGCCTCCATTAAGGCTATCTGAACTACAGGGTTTCTAGTTCACAGTTCAACCTATTAACCATCCATTGCATTACACTCATCCCTTGATTTATTTGGTAGGTGGTAACAATGCAAGGCAGGGTGTCTTGATTTCAGTTCGGTTACATTCCACACCCATAAATTCAGCAGTTTCCAACACACTTACCTAGGAACATCTCCATTCAATGTTATTTGAACTTGTGTTTTGAATCTGTCCATAAAGCTGCTAATTGAAGGATGTCGAGAAGGAAGCTGAAATTTTAATGAACATTTCTCTTTCTGCAACTCTTCAATTTTTCTTCTAAATTTATCAGCTATAGGGGGAAAAAGGAGAAACCCATTATTAAATAATCCAATGATGTACTTTGTCTAGAAATAAAGTTTTATTTTCAAATATTTTAATTGATTGTTGAATGTAACCCAAAATGCATCAAAGTGAGGCTATTTAATCCTGAAAATATATGTATAAAATATATGTATAAAATGACCAACAGCTAGCTGTTCTTTGAAACTCTTGTTTACTGAAAGCTGCAATACTAATTTTGAAACATGGGATGTAACAAGAAGTCTTATTTTCACAGATTTCAATAAACAAACCTATGGCCAAATTAGACATGTCATTAAAGATGTAAGTGGCTCTTCCCAACAGGGGAGGCGGTAGCCAGGACCAGAAGTTAATTGTGGAGTAAAACAGATCTTGAAAAACTAACTCTTTTCTGGGCTATGAATCCTCCAGATCTTGGGAGTTGTTCTTGTTGTGTGTCTTCAAGTCATTTGTGACTTTGAGCAGCTCTAAAGCAAAGCTAATGTAGGGTTTTCCAGGGCTTAGAGTGTGTGACCCAACCTAAGCCTCTAATCTCCAGAGTCATAGCCAATGCTCAAACCCCTTCACAGATTACACTGAATAATAATTATTTTTTGCGGCTCTTGAACATAGCCTTAACACTTTGCCTCTGCCATAGTTGTGATCACAAGCAATAAAACCCACAACTGCTATGTGTTTGAGAAAGGAAAGCTGCCAGTGACACTCAAGCAAACCTCCATCCTGTCTCCCACCACTCAAAAAAATATATACAGGCAGCCCTCCACCTTTGTGGGACTAAGGGACACAGGCCCCTTGAAAGTGAAAAAACATGTATAAAGACATTGCATTGTTTTTATCTAAGAGAACACCTCTCTGGGAATTTCTAGGACTTCCAGCATGACTGCATGGTCAACTACCACTGGAAGCTGACTACAAAATTGTAGTGGAGGATCCAGAGATTCCTAGAGAGATGTTCTCTACAGAAATCTCTAGGTCAGTGGTTCTCAACTTGTGGGTCCCCAGATAGTTTGGCCTTCAGCTCCCAGAAATCCTAACAGCTGGTAAACTGGCAGGGATTTCTAGGAGTTGCAGGCCAAAACACCTGGGGACCCACAGGTTGAGAACCACTGCTCAAGGTCCTCAAGCATGACCAAAAGAAATTAACCATACTCAAAAATTTAGAAATTGCTGCTATGTTAACCAAATCCATGAATAATCAAATCCACAACATGAAAACTATAAATGTGGAGGGACAACTGTAACAGTAATGTTAACCTAATCTGTTCTAAAGAGTGACACAAGGACAAGGACTACCTTTAACTTCCCTTTTGTCTCGTAAAGATCCAAATGAGCGCGAGGGGATTTAATTTACACAATCTGCCCTTCCAGGTCTCATTGATATTGTTTTGCCCGGTGGATTCCCAAACCCTAGGGCCAGCGCTGGTAATGTGAGACTCTTATTCCATCAAACAAAGATTGTGTAGCAATCACTAACTTTATAATTTCCCCTTGGCAGCTCTCACTCTGACTGAAAACCCCATGGCTTTTAATAATGCAGTTTGTGGCTGTAGTAGAAAGTTTTAAGAGTTTGGTAATTTGTACAACTGAACTAAACTATTCCATCAATTTGTCCTCTATAGTTATATCTCATGTGATCTGTTCTCTCTCCCCTGATCCTCTTCCAACTATGTCATCTCACTCAACTCTAAATTTCCCCTTTGAATACTTAGTATTCAAGCCTTTATCTCTTAGAGTAAATTAACATTGAGAACTTAGATAAAAAAGCACACTTGAAAATGATATTCATGTTCTATTTCATAAAGAAAGTGCCTATTTTTCTTAGTAACTGACACTTGAAAAAAGTTAGTGCCCTTTTTGTTCTTTTATGGAAGCTTTGTAATTTCATAGAGTGCATTTTAATATATTCCTTTCAAACAAAAGTAAAACTAGTTTCTCTTTTACTTTTCCCAGCAACAAAAGACCCTCCAATTCTTTTATCATTTATAACCACTATAACTCTCCTTTTTTCATTTCGATAATATGCTTATCAGCTCAGCTTTGCAGCTATGCTTGGAACAATTGTTACATTCTTTGGGGAAAATCTGGCCAGGTGCTTAAGGGAAAAAGAAAAGCCATCTGAACTACAGCTGATCTGAATAGAGAGGCATGGATTCAGACAGCACTTTCATCAGAAGCAAGAAGTGACCCTAATTTTGAGAAGGGCACTGCAAAGGAAGAAAAAAAATCCATCCAAAATGAGAGGACCAAAATTGAGAAAGCATGAGTGATTCTTTTGAAAAGCCGATATACAGCTGTGAGGACTAGCAAATTTGATGCATCAGGACAACAGCCTTAGTTTAATCATCTCAGCTTTTAGAGAGCGTTCAGGTCTGATTTGTTCTAGGATCCCTTTTTTTTTAGCCATGTCTCATAGTATCTGCAGAACTTTTCTCAATCACTTACACAAAACCCAGCTCCTTCTTCCTCTCCACATCACAACACCTTTGTGTTTCTCTTATGGGGCCATTTTGAAGATCTCTGGATTGGTCAGAAGTGAAGTCAGCCTTTCACGTTCTCTGAGGCAAGGGATGCAGGGCCCTCTTGAAAGGGGAAAATCTCAAATAAAGATCATTTGGCAAAAATATGATAGCTGGGACCCAATGCTGGTTGCGCGACACGAGTCACAATTACACTAGCGCAGCGAGAGACGCTGGTGTGTGTTATAAACTTAACTATTGGTAACTGCCACTTTTTTACCATTCTTACTTTCACTCAAACTTAACTTAATTACATGTGGATGAAGCATGCTATAAACTTAATGCTGTCTTTCACACATCTTCGCTTCTCTAATTCTGACCCGTGTTTCGCAGCCAGCATTGGGTACCAGCTATCACACTTTTGTGGATCATTTTTTTTACCTGAGTGAACACCTCTCTAGGAATCATTAGGTGCTCCAACATATCCTATGGTCAACCTGTGGTGTAAGTTGAGCATAGGGTTCTGCTAGAAGACCTAAATATTCCTAGAGAGACCATATTAAGCGAATCCGCAAATGATCAAATCAGCAAATGTCAATCCCGCAATTGTGGAGGGCTGGACTTCAAACTACATTATACTACTCCAGAATAACATAGGGTCAATCTGGATTGGAACTACAGCTGCTATAAATCAGAATGAATTTGGTCAATTCCTTTCTTTATTCAGTGCTCAGCTGAATCGTTTGTGCTGTCCTAGGACCAATATCTTTCCCCCGTGAATTAGGAAAGCATTAACAGGGAAGACTTATATATGCCTGTTCTCATCCAATTGCCCTGAGCAGTTGAAGCACCACTTCTTTTTAAAAAAAATTAAAAATGGTTATGTGTGTCCTACATGTTACCTAGTTTAGTCAAAGGAAAAAAGTTGTAATGAGACATCTGCTTCAGCTGTATTGTCGTTACAGTTTGAGGGAGGCATGCTAAAGCTGATCCACAGTACAATAAACTCTCTCTACAAAGTCCTTGCAAACCTAGTTTAACAAGGAAACAGTCGGAAATATAAAACATAGCGTTGAATCTTCCACTCTCTTCAAAATGGAAAGACTGCCAAAGAGGATGAAGCAATTTAACTCTCACAATCATGGCACCACTGAACATAGCTAGTCTTCCTACCTGTCTTACTTCAGATACTAACAGTGCATCCATAGAGTAAGAAGGCTAAACCCCTAAGAGAGAAAGTTGTGTCTAAGGTATCCCCGCTTTTAAAAATCAAAACCAGCACCTTCTATCATGTATGTAAACAAAGTGTGGGAGACATGCAGGCCTTCAGAGAGTGTTGAGCTGCAACCCCCATAGCCAATAGTGAGACATGTTGGAAATTTCAGTCCAACCATTTTTGTAGGACATGATTCCTACCTTTGATATAAATCACTTGAGCATCCACAGATTTTGCCAGTGAATATGAGTAATTTGTTGTGCATGATTCACAACTTATGACTCTGGATAGAACATACATGCCTGCGTTAGCCTGATGACCTACACTGTGTCAAACTACAACTCTCACTATTATTATTATTATTATTATTATTATTATTATTATTATTTCTTACCTCTCCTCATGGTGCAAGGCAGGTTACAGAATAATTAAAACACATAAACACTGCAAAAACACCACAAATACACATATTAAAACATAACTCTGTAAAACCTACATATTAAAATACACAAAACAGAAACTAAACAAAGGACACACATTTAAAATTCATGCTTAAAGACAGTCTGGATAGGCCTGCCGGAAGAGATAGGTCTTTACATGATTTTTAGCTGTCAGAGTTCTTTGGGCAAGACATTTCAAAGTCTTGGGGCAGCCGATGATAAGATCCTCTGGGTAGTGGTTGTCAGTCAGATTCTGACTGGTTGGAGCAAATGCCCCTCAGAGGACCTCATGTTTGAGGAGGTATAACCATTATAACCAAACTACATGGCAAGTTTTGTCTCAACACATCTGGTGGGCACTAAGTTAAGGAAGACTGGGACAAGACACTGTCAAATATATTGTGAGAAGCTGGTGTTCAATTAAAAAGAGAACTGCTAATTAAAATAAAACGTCTTGAAATAGCAGATTGAACAGCCATTTCTGTGCTATCATTTCATTCCCTTGTAGTGACTGCTACATGGAAAGCTTGCCAAGTTAGTGCTGCAGGGTCCACATTTCAACACATATATGCTTTCAAACAATAAGCTTCTGTCAGGTTAGCATTCCATCAAATCTGTCAATTGCATCTTGTTTTTCGTGCTACAGGACAAGATGACACATCGTGTAAAGGTCAAGTGGAAAAATGTCCCTTCCACTACATCATCATCCTCAGTTGATAAAGGTCATTCCGCCCAGTAGTTGTTGCTACAAAGAACAAAAAGCCTACATGATGAGGAAAGTCCTCAGTACCTTTTGTCTCACCCAAATGTTTGTTCAGGACCCGGTCAATACTTCCACTTCTTTTTCAAATAGATAATGACATCACTACATCAGAAT